ACCTGCACTCCCATTCTTGTATGCATAAATAAAAATAAATCTTAAAAAAATTCCCTTAAGGTAACTTTATTCTTCTTTCTGCTGCTCTGAATCGATGAGTTCCACTCTGTGTGCTTCAAGCCCACTGATCTTTTCTTCCACTTCATTTAGATTATCATGGAGCCCCTCTATTATTATACTTTTGATTCCTATTATAGTATTCTTCAACTCTATGACTTTTATATAGTACTTTCTCATATTTTCTATTTGCTAAAATTCTCACTTTGATCACACATTTTTTTGGCTGAGTTTGGTGAACATTTTATATGATTTTTAAACTTTACATCAGTTAAATCACTTATCTTTGTTTCATTCAGTTCTTCTTAGGTTTTGTTTTGTTCTTTTATTTGGAACATGCCCCTTAGTTTCTTCATTTTTCTTGATACTGTATCAGTTTCCATTCATCAGCTCTTTCAGTCTTGGAGAAGAGGTCTTATATAAGAAATCAAGCTTATAACTCAATCCTGCCCTCATTTTTGTTATCTCTCAAAATTTTGAGATTGTCCAGGCAGTCAGTTTTGTTCTTAGTGGCTCCCAGTATTGAGGGTGTGCCCAAACAAATCCGTGTCCCAAAGGGGAGAATCTTAGTAAGCACCTACATTTAGGCTCATCAGAAACCAGACTCTCAAGCAACAACTGTATTCAAATATCCCTCATTTAGAGGGTTTATTTCTGCTCCTCTGCTCTAAGCCCTGAGACCATTTAAGAACTCTTTCTTCTTTTCACAGCCATCCCTTTAAATGTGTGAATAAAAGCCTTGTTGGCCAATGGAGACAATGTTCAAGGAATAGTCTGTGAGGTAGCCACAAAATCAGGGCTTTATATGTGCACAAACTTTTCTTGGAGACATTGGTGATATGGCTAGAGATAGAGGGAAACTATAAAGATGTTGCCTTTAAGAGTACTCAGTCTCTGGGGAGAATGATAGTTGCCCCCTAGATGTATATTTAATTAGAAGCCTGTCCCTCAGATCTCAGCTATGAAGATAAGCTGGAATGACTGGAGGTATATTCCTCTTCTGTCTTGCCATGCCTTGGGGGTTTAACTGGTTAATAAATGTTTTCTTGTTTGTTAGTTCTATGAAACTGAACTGGTATCTGCTAGATACCAGAGCCAGATGACAAGTTACATTTCCTGAGTTGAATGTCCAAAATGTGGCACCAGGTTGTTCGTAAGCTCGTTTTTGGATATACCAGCAACCTAGATCAAAGTAGAGGGAAAACACAAAAATAATACCCATTCTCTATTTGTTTGTTTGGTGTTTTGTGTTTTGTTTTTGTTTTTTTTTTTTTTTTGAGAGACTTGTAATCATCCCTAGGGAGTATTTTTAATTATAAACTTGCCCTTCAGGCCAAGAAAAGTGAGTAAGTAGACTTCATTCACAGAAAGACTTGGAATTTCAGGGGCTGTCTCTCGGTTGTGTCATGGGGTGTAGCTGGTGAATAACTCTTTTGCCATATGTTACAGTTTTGTGGAAGCCATAGAAATGAATCCTGTAGGCCACATGAGTCAGGAAATGAAGGGGAATCACTTGCATGGCAGTCTTAAGAAATGTACAAACCCCTTTCTGGAAGGTACTGGTGACTTGGAATGTGGCAGAGTTACAGCATAAAAATTCAGGAATTGTTTCTTAAAAAGAAAATAGTTTCCTGTAGCAGATAGCATGGCTTTATTACAGAATCCCAGGGACATATATTGTGATACATATTATATTCATTATGTTCTTCAAATATTCCAGAGTCAAAATAAACTGCATGATCTCTATATTGTCAATGAAAATAAACACAAATCCACATCCAATACTTTTCAAAGTTAGCTACAGCTATTTCACTCTATAGAAAAAATTTCCATATTTCTTTTATTAAAAAAAGTTTTAATTCAAACATAAGGACTCAAGTTTGAAAGAAGTCTCACAAATTATAACAACGCATTCTGATTACATTATTTTTTAAAACAATAATCCAAATTCAACAATTCTCTACCTTACCTAATGTGATTCAATCTTTTTAAATTATTGTTATGGCAGCATTGCTTTTACAAAATTGTATAACTTTCAGGAGTACAGCTTCAAACCTCAACAAATGCATATGCCACACCAACATATCACCAAGTGTCTGGTTACTATCAACCATCAACCAACTGTATCCCTATAATTTCTTCTCTCACTCCTACCCTCACCCTCTGGTAATGACTATTATGTTTTCAGAATCTGTAGTTTTACTTTGATTCTGTGGTTTGTTGTGTTTCTTTTTATAACACATATGAGTGAAATAGTATGGTATTTGTCTTTTTCTTTATGACTTAATTCACTTACCACAATTCCCTTAATGTCCACTCATGTTTTCACAAATGTCCAGATTTAATATATTTTTTAAACTGAGCAGTAGACCATTCTGTAAATATACCATACAATTTTTAGCCATTCATCCATTAATGGTCACTTAGGCTTTTCCATATTTTGGCTATTGTCAATAGTGTTGTAATGAACATACCCTGCCAATTGGGTAAGTAGCTTGGGATTTGCTGTACCACATGATAGATCTACTCTGAATATTTTGAGCAAACTTCATACTCTTATCCTTAGTTGTAGCACAAAACCCCCACAATAATCATAATGGATACATAAAATAAAGAAGGGGGTAAAGGAGATCTTAGAAAACAAAATGTGTGGGTAGAGGACAGTGAAAATTTGGACTGCTTTTAGTTAAGACTAACTTGCTATCAATTTAAAATAGGTTCTAAAAACAGAATCTTATCTGTGTACCTCATGGAACCTCAACATGAAAATCCATAGAAGAAACTAATGATAGAATGAGGAATTAAACACTAACACAAAAGGAAGATATCGAAGTACAAAAGAAAAGGAGAAGGAAAAAATAAAAGGCAAGTTACAAATATACCCAGAAAATAAATAACAAATGACAATAAATATGTATCAATTGATACCCTATAGCCTGTTTTCTAATCTCCAAAGACAACAAACTCAAAGTAAAAGAAAGGGAAAGAATGCAAGTGAATGATAACCTAAGTTCCAAAAACAGTTATATCAGATAAATAGGTAATAAGAGATAATAATGGGAAATCCATCAAGAATATATAAATAACACTCACCATATATATATATATATATATATATATACACACACACACACACACACATATGTGCATGTGTGTGTGTATACAGGACATAGGGACACCAAATTTAACTTTAACAGACTGAATGGGAGATATTGACAATAGTAGTAGTAGACTGTAATGACCTACATAAATGTATGGATAAGTAATCCGGACAAAAAATTAACAAGGGATCATTCTTCTCAAGGGCACATGAAACATCCTCAAGGATAGATTGTTCAATTTTTATTAAATTGTAAAAAATAGTTCTTCAAATCTCAAGATTACTTGGCTGAGTGTGGTGTTTCTATTAAATAACTGGGCTAATCCCTGAACACACCACTGTCATTGAGTCAATTTTTTTCTCTAAAGAGACAGAGTCACGGTTTTTTTCTTGCTTCAAAATATGTGTTAATATTTTTAGAAAGACATTTTGTACATCTTAACCAATGGGTGTTATTGCTTAAAATCTTAAATTAAGTCAAACTTATTCACTAAGATTAGCTCTTTTTAATTGGTGAAATAATCTGAAGTAGTAGATTTTCCTAGGGCTTTAGATGATGAGGCACCATGTACCCATTAAATATATCCAGTAATGATTAGTATCACAATGCTGGCAACACATAACCTATTTCCAAGGCTTGAGTGCTACCCATTCTGGTCTCAGTGAGTGTAGCTTTCTAATATTACAAATCTCAATATTGAATGTTAGAAGTAATTGATTGTGATCTTCCACAAAGTAAATTTCTGCAGTGTTTAAATTATGGGCTGAAGATTTATGGAAAAATATCCTATGGCATCTCTAGAGAGACAATGACCTAAGATACTTCAATTGAATATATTTACCAGATTTTTTTATTGAAGAGTTCCAGGAAAAATAAATTAATAAAATTACGCATTATTCTATTAAGAGATATTAGTGTATGCTGGCTTAACAGTGCAACACAGTTTGATCCCCAGCCAGGGAGCTGACCCACATGGGACAGCAGGCTTCTCCTTCAGCACCTACTGCTCCCCTTAGCAGTGTATTTCAGTAGATCTGCCTGTTCTGTCCTCCATTCTGGTGAATCTTCTCACCCCCTGCAACTCTGGCCTGCACCCCAGTTCTTGTATGCTTAAATAAATAAATCTTTTTTAAAAAAGATTGATAAGAGAAGTAAAAAGTTTAGTAATAATAGGAGTACCTATTATAAAAACTAAGCTTGAATATAGTTTATAGAGTAGGAACAGTGAGTCATTGAGACTGTTCATGGTGTCTATGAGCAGAGGAAGGACAATTCTTTCAACATTCAATAGATGTATTTCTGTGACTTTATAAATACGTGCTCTTGGAAGTGCCTTATTGGGAATTCACTCAGTGAAACAGAGAACTTTTCTTTTTTTTTTTTCAGTTGTGCAAATACCATGAAAGACCATGCAGAGTGACGGTACAGGACCAAATCTTCAGAGGGTGGTGCTTATCCAGCCCTCACAGGACCCTAAAACTTGATCCATTAACAGAATAAGTCAATTATTTATTTACATTTATGCTTGTCCTGGAGACCCAGGGAAGGTCTGAGGTCCAGGGCCATCTCTCCTCCCTTTTCCTCCCTCTCTTTCTACCTCCTTCTCACCTTCTTTCACTTCCTCAGTTCTGTCCCTTCTTGCCTCTCCTTGCCTCTCTTCTACCTCCTTTCCTTGCCTTCCCTTTTTCTTCTTTATTTTCTCCCCATTCTTCCACCATGTGGCCATCTTTATCTCTCCAAGACTACCTGCCCAGGCCCTCAGCCCTGCCTCCCACAGGTTTAACCTCCATGGACAGGGAGGCAGAAAGAAGTCTTCAGACCAGGGAGCACTTAGTGTTCTTGTCACTGAGTTTTCAACTCAGTGCTGGGGAGCTTGTTGCTTTTTCTCGATCTCTGGCCTTCTGACTTGAGCAAGATGTCCCAGGCCAGGGAACTAAAGGCCCCATCCACATTCACATTGGATTTAACACTTGTCTCAAAAAACCGGATTCCATGTTCCCAAGCCAACTTATCAACCTGCTCCTTCTGTACCTTCCTCTTGGCCTCCATGTCACACTTGTTCCCCAGCAAGAGACGCTCCACCCCAGCCAAGGCATTCTCTTTGATGCTCTTCATCCCGTTCTGAGTATTCTCAAAGTATTTCTCATCTGTGATGTCATATACTAGGATAATGCCCATGGCTCCATGGTAATAGGCAGTAGTTATCATCTTGAATGGCTCTTGACCAGCAGTGTCCCAGACTTGTCCCAGACTTGATCTTTTTTCCTCTCCATATCAACAGTGCAGATCTTGAAATCAATTCCGATGGTGGAGATGTAAGTACTGTTGAAGTTGTCCTCTGCGAAGCGAATGATGAGACAAGACTTGCCCACCCCTGAGTCCCTGATCAGCAGCAACTTGAAGAGGTGGTTGTAGGCTTTGGTCATGGCGAACACTGGGGAAGCCGGGGGAGGGGTGGGGAGGCACTGGACACTGGCAGGTGGGATTGGAGGGTTGGCAGATGAGCCCAAGGAACTTTTCTTAATAAACAAAAGTGACAATCATTTGGCCAGATTCATTTCAAATCAGAAATAAAGAGAAGACATTACAATGGACACCACAGAAATATAAAAATTATGAGACTACTATGGGCATCTCTATATCAACAAAAAGACAACACAGAGGAAATGGATCCATTCATTGAATTACACATCATCCCAAGACTGCATCATGAAGAAACAGAAAATCTAAACAGACTGATCACAAGTATAAAAAAATTGAAACAGTAATCAAAACTCCCCCAAAATAAAACTGAGCCAAATGGTTTCATCACTAATCCTCCTAAAACTCTTCCAAATAGGAAAGAATCTGGACCTCCCTAGTGGTGCAAGTCATTGAGATGCAACCTATCAAGCTATCTGGAGCCACTGCAGCACCAGTTCTATCCCCAGGCATGCAGCTACCCACATGGTGCAGCAGGCCTCTCCTTCCACACCCACTGCTCCCTTCAGTCAGTCTGCATTTTCTGCACCCCACTCTGTCTCTGGTGAATCCTCTCACTCCCTGCACCTCTGGCCTGTACCCCAGTTCTTGTATGCATAAATAAATAAATAAATCTTTTTTTTTAAAAAGGAAAGAATCTTTCCTAACTCTTTGATGACAAAGGCATGATGTCGATGTAACAATCAGACAAGGCTTCACAATAAAAAATGAAAATTACAATACACTACTTCTGATAAACATAAATGCAAAAATCCTCTATGAAATATTAATAAACCAATTTTTTATTATAAATTTTATTTTTATGTTCCCCATACAATTGCAACCCCCTTATTTTGACCCCAGTCCCTCCCCTCCCTGCCCCCCAACCTCATAGAGAGTCTCTGGTTCATAGTTGTTTGTTGATTTTGATTTTCACTTTCTTATAGTTATTCTTTTTCCTGGTCCCTTATTTAAGTTCTCTAGATTCCTGCTATGAGTGAGACCATCCGGTATTTTTCTTTTTCTTTCTGGCTTATTTCGCTGAGCATGATCCCTTCCAGCGCCATCCATGTTGCTGCAAATTGCATGTGTTTATCTTTTTTGAATGCTGAGTAATATTCCATGGTGTATATGTACCACATCTTCTTGATCCAGTCATCTATTTTTGGGCATTTGGGTTGTTTCCATAGCTTAGCTATTGTAAACAGTGCTGCTATAAACATAGGGGTGCAGGTGCTCTTTGGAATTGATATTTCTGTGTCCTTTGGGTAAATACCTAGGAGTGGAATTGCTGGATCATATGGAAGCTCTATGTTTAGTAGGTCCAGAAATCTCCACACAGTTCTCCATAGTGGTTGGACCAGTTTGCACTCCCACCAACAGTGCAGGAGAGTTCCTTTTTCTCCACACCCTCACCAATATTTGTTGTTGCTAGTTTTTTTAATATGTGCCATTCTCACTGGTGTGAGATGGTATCTCATTGTATTTTTGATTTGCATTTCCCTGATTACAAGTGATGTTGAACATTTTTTCATATGCCAGTTGACCATTTGTATTTCCTCTTCAGGGAATCTTCTTTTTAGCTCTTCTGCCCATTTTTTGACTGGTTTATTTTCTTTGTTGTTGTTGAGTCTCATCAGCTCTTTGTAGATTTTTGTGATCTGTCCTTTATCATTAGTGTTGTGTGCAAAAATGTTCTCCCAGTCGGTGGGGTTTCTCTTTGTTTTTGTTATTGTCTCTTTTGCTGTGCAGAAGTTCTTTAATTTGATGTGATGTAGTCCCAGCTGTTTATCTTTGCCTTCACTATCACTGCTTTGGGTGATGTGTCTGTAAAGATGTCTTTGATGTGCATATCACATAGTGTTTCACCTATATTCCCTTCTATGTATTTTATGGTTTCAGGTCTTATGTCTAGTTCTTTAATCCATTTTGAGTTGGTAATAAACCAAAATTGTAACTGAGTCTAAATGGTTACATTTATCTCAGAGTACAAAAGGAAACGAAGAGTCACTGGTAATGAAAGAAATCACAATTGCTCCTTTGGCTTCCAAGGAGACTTAATGAGAAAAAGCTGAAACTCCATGAAAAAATGCACTCCTTTGGAAAGTTCAACTTGTAGAATTACATATATGTGCTCTGCTCCAGAAAGTAAGAAAAATACAGAGATATCTCAGTTCTGTGTTGTGTCACTTTTTTTAAAGATTTTTTAATTTTATTTATTTATATAAATACTGGGTACAGTCAGAAGTGCGGGAAGGTGAGAGAATTCACCAGAGCCAGAGCAGGGAACAGAACAGGCAGACCAATGAAATACACTGCTGAGGGGAGCAGCAGGCATGGAAGGAGAGGTCTGAGCACCATGTTGGACACTCACCGGTGGCCAGGGATTAAAATGGCACTGCAGAGGCTGTGGGCAGCTTTGCAGCCCAGAGCTCAACTGCTGCACCACGGGGAAGGCCCATGTTGTGTCACTTTTTATGAGAAAAATCTGGCAAATGCCCAAAGAGGAAAGTTGCCATAAAAGAGGATGAAAAGAAGAAAATCCAGAAATAAACCCACAGATTTATGGTCAACTAATCTTTGACAAAGGAGCAAAGACTATGCATTGGAGCAAAGAAAGTTTGTTCAATAAATGGTGCTGGGAAAACTGGGTCGCTACATGCAAAAGAATGAAGATTGACCACTACCTCACACCATACACAAAAATCAACTCAAAATGGATTAAAGAACTAGACATAAGACCTGAAACCATAAAATATATAGAAGGAAATATAGGCGAAACACTACGTGATTTGCACATCAAAGACATCTTTACAGACACATCACACAAAGCAGTGATAGTAAAAGCAAAGATAAACAGCTGGGACTACATCAAATTAAAGAGCTTCTGCACAGCAAAAGAGACAATAACAAAAACAAAGAGAAACCCCACCAACTGGGAGAACATATTTGCACCCAACAATAAAGGACTGATCACAAAAATCTGCAAAGAGCTGATGAGACTCAACAGAAACAAAGAAAATAATCCAGTCAAAAAATGGGCAGAAGAGCTAAAAAGAAACTTCTCTGAAGAGGAAATGCAAATGGCCAATAGGCATATGAAAAAATGTTCAACATCACTTGTAATCAGGGAAATGCAAATCAAAACTACCATGAGATACCATCTCACACCAGTGAGAATGGCACATATTAAAAAAACTAGCAACAACAAGTGTTGGCGAGGGTGTGGAGAAAAAGGAACTCTCCTGCACTGTTGGTGGGAGTGCAAACTGGTCCAACCACTATGGAGAGCTGTGTGGAGATTTCTGGACCTACTAAACATAGAGCTTCCATATGATCCAGCAATTCCACTCCTAGGTATTTACCCAAAGGACACAGAGACATCAATTCCAAAGAACACCTGCACCCCTATGTTTATAGCAGCACTGTTTACAATAGCTAAGCTATGGAAACAGCCCAAATGCCCAAAAATAGATGACTGGATCAAGAAGATGTGGTACATATATACCATGGAATATTACTCAGCATTCAAAAAAGATAAACACATGCAATTTGCAGCAACATGGATGGCGCTGGAAGGGATCATGCTCAGCGAAATAAGCCAAAAAGAAAAAGAAAAATACCAGATGGTCTCACTCATAGCAGGAATCTAGAAAAGTTAAATAAGGGACCAGGAAAATGAATAACTATAAGAAAGTGAAAATCAAAATCAACAAAAAACTATGAACCAGAGACACTTTTAGGGGGCGGGGGTGGGAGGGGAGGGATTGGGGTCAGAATGGGGGGGCTGCAATTGTATGGGGAATATAAAAATAAAATTTATTATTTAAAAAAAAAATAAATAACGTCCAATTCTGGGTGCTAAAAAAAAAAAAAATGATGAAAAGAGAGGAAAGCTCAGAGCCCTGCTATCCTCCCCCACTCACAAAGCTGGTACACTCCAATCAACAGAAAGAAAAACAACAACAGTAACAACAACAACAATGAGGACAAACTACACATCAAGCAGGTCTGTGAGTGGAAAGGAATTATTGCAGGCACCGCACCACGAAAACAGGAACTGTGGAGAACCGTGTGGGAATAGCCACCCAGGTGAGCAAATGGCTCCCAACATGAGTAGAGGAAGATAAGGACTCCTCCTCAGAGAGACCTGCAAATAGCCCAAGGCTAGCCAGCCAGTAAGCTTCTGCGGAAAAATGTGCATGTGAGCTCTAAAAGCATACGTGGATCGTGGCTGCCCAGATCCCTGTGCCAGCGACCTAGGTTCATGGGGAGACATGTGGGAACCATCACTGAGGTGAATGACCTTCACTGAATAATCAAAAACTAGGTTCTCTGACACCAGAGAAGGGTGCAAAAGTGCCATTTCTGCAGACACTGAACTGGGCTTCTGCCCACATCCTGGATCTGAAGGCTTCAGAACTGAGACTTAGACATGAAATTTGGGGTGTGGAATCCCAACGATGTGTGGCACAGGGCAGACACAGAACCACACACCATCGAGTCATTCCACACCACCCTCAACCCAGTTCCCTGGAGATCCACGGGGGGAAAAGCACAGCTCTGGAAGGACACTAGGAAAGATCTCTGGCGCTACCTAATGATCAGGACAAAATCACCAACTTCCTAATAGTTGGAAATCAGGGTTTCCAAAACCACCATCAGGCTCTGAGAAGGGGGTGGGCCATGCAAACGGGGGTAAGAAGGGAAACAAGGCATGAAGAAAGACCACATTCTGGAATTGAGAGCCCTAAGCACAGGATTTAGGGCGTGGGGTGTGCCATAAAAGTGGGCACTGCACGAGGTGACAGCTGTCATTATGAATGTGAGACCCTGAGAGTGAGAACTAGAGCACAGAATTCAGGGCACGGGATACACACAGCCGCGGGCACAACACTGGGTGAACACGGGGCAGAAATAGCACCCAGCATGAGCAATAGCCCCCACCCCAGTTTCTCAGAGAACA